GAGGTTGTACAATTTGCCTCGTGGTATAACTGGAACAATCTGGAACTGAACACACTCAAAACTGTAGAAATGGTGGTAGACTTTTGGAGAAACCCTCCCATACTACCACCTGTTACAATACTAGACAACACAGTATCAACAGTAGAAACCTTCAAATTTCTAGGTTCACAAAACCTAAAACGGACACCTAATATCAAAAACGTCATCAAAAAAGCACAACAAAGAATGTTTTTTCTGAGCCAACTCAGAAAGCTCAAACTTCCCAAGGAGCTGCTGATCCAGTTCTACAGAAGAATTATTGAGCTTGTCATCTGCACCTCTATAACTGTCTGGTTTGGGTCTGCAACCCAACAAGACAGACACAGACTTCAGAGGATAATTAGGACTGCAGAAAAAACAATTACTACCAAGCTGCCTTCAATAGAAGACCTGTATGAGTCAAAAAGAGGTCTGTGAAAATGAAGGCTGTGACCCCTCACATCCCGGACATAAACTGTTTCACCTCCTTCCTTCAAAACGACGCTATAGAGGACTGCACACCAGAACAACTAGAAGAACAGTTTTTTCCCAAACACCACCACTCTGCTAAACAAATAATTCCTTCAACATTGTCAAACTATTTACAAAGTCTGCCCCACTATTACTATTAATCTTCTCATCACTCCTTATCACCCATCCCCCCCACTTGTGACTGTATAATTGTAACTTTGTTACTTGTATCCTTACAATTTATATTGACTGTTTCTAGTATGATTTGATAGCTTATTGTACCCTATGACTATTATTAAGTGTTGTACCTTATGATTCTTGACTCTTGATTAATGTATCTTTTCTTTTATGTACACTGAGAGCATTTGCACCTTGACAAATTCCTTGTGTGTCCAATCACACTTGGCCAATAAAAGAATTCTATTCTATGTGCATGAGTAAGTGAGTGAGAGTGAGAGTGAGAGTGAGAGTGAGAGTGAGAGTGAGAGTGAGAGTGAGTGAGTGAGTGAGAGAGAGAGAGAGAGAGAGAGAGAGAGAGAGAGAGAGAGAGAGAAGGTTGTTTCATACAATGGTATGAAACAAATTATTTTCTATTTATCTCCAATGAGTCTATTTTCTATTTATCTCCACTGAATAGCAGACTGGAAACCCTGTTAATGCTTTTCCTCATTTTACATGGAATCATTTAATGAATGTTACCTGCATTGTTTATGATAAACAATTGCTTACATTCATTTTATTATATCAGTTCTACTCTTACAGACCTTTTGTTTCCCACTATTTCTATAGGGCTATGGAGCTATACATACATTTCTAATGTGCTTAAATGATCACAGATTATACACTTATTTCTTTCAAGCATGTACATTTCCTCATAATGGTCCACTGAGAGTTACTTTAGATCATCACCGTGAATTTTTATTTTGTAAAGAGTTATTTTCTACTGCAGATTACTTTTCTTCACTACCAAAATGACTGCACTAAGATGCCATAGAAAACAATAAAAGCCTGAGCAAAATGAAGTATTAGTATAATACATCTATTCAGACATGAAATAAAGTTAGAAAAAAATTAAAGATCTATTGTTACTTTTAATTTCATATGATAACTATAAGCGTACCGGTTAGACATTAGCATGGCCTGTCTCTCTGACATGTGTTAATTCATCCCAAGAACAACCCAACTCCAGTCAAAAACCTCAGAGACAGGCAAAGTTTCCTTTTATTAGAGTAGGTATACTGGCACATCTGGGAAAATCTGAATCTGAAAGTTCCGGATTTTCCCTTAGTAATTCAAAAGTCCAAAACCCAACCCCTGCACCCATCAGTCCATCACATAATCCAATCACCAACTGTCCCAACTTGAGACATTCCTTCAACCACTCCTCCTCCAAGTGCAGGAATAACATGACCTTGACCGAAAGGAAGAATGCTATTATGTCTAACTACCAATACTCTAAACTTCCTCCCCTCCTACTTTCCCAGGCAAAGGAATATGACAACATGGAAGCTTCTGGTACTAATATGCCTTCCAAAGCTGACAAAGGATACCCTAAAACTCAGATCAAATGGAACTCCAGTCTATGGTTAGCTTAGCTCTATTTACATTCAGCAATACATTGATATTAGTCACATTTATACCTTCTTTTCAAAGAACTGAGATTGAGAATGTATCTATAAAAACAAAAACAAAAATGAGAGTAGATATTGTCTACTTCTGAATTTAGTCAATACACAAGAAAAATAATTTCCAGATTACATTGATTTAATTTCACCCTCCTTATTTAATCCAAAATAAAGCACTTTAAAGGAGACTAAAATACCTATTTTCTCTGAAATTTTCCAAAAAAAGTTCAGGGAAAGCATTTGCTTAAAATGTTCTCTTTCAGCAGTTTGTGTTCAGAACATTTTTCTCTGAAATCTTAAATTCACTTAGTATGTTTCTTTATATTTTTTCCAGACTATTTCAGTTGAAAATGACTGAATGGTAACAGCTACCCCAGGAAGCGTCTTTCAGTGGCTGCTCTTCATTTTTAAAAGGACCTTTCCAGTAATATGTACATTACATTAACCATTCATTCTTACCATTCATTCTTGGAGTGTAGGGTGTTGCCTACTCCACATGCTCAGCACATATCTTCACTAAATAACATAGTGAACTATGACTAACAACTGCACCACTAATTGCTGATTGCAAAATTCAGATAAATTGACTGAAGTGCAATTTTTTAATTCCCTTTGAGTTAGAATAGGAAAATACGTGATTAGCTACTTCATATTATTCTTGCTGAGGTCTTTTTAAAAAACGCATAGCTTCTCCTGAAAAACAATGGTTGATTGAACTTCAGGCAACAGCCTAAGGGTATACATTGTACATTATCATAGTATACTAATATATCATAATACATAAAGTTTATTTTTCACTTGAACGCATCTTTCATATAGATTCCTGGGAATAATATGAAAGTGATTTGCCATTTCCTTCTTCCAGGATGTGTTTTAAAGTTCCAGGTTAATTCCTATAGGGCCTATAGATAGATAGAATTCTTTATTGGCCAAGTGTGATTGAACACACAAGGAATTTGTCTTGGTGCATGTGCTCTCAGTGTACATAAAAGAAAAGATACATTCATCAAGAGTCAAGAATCATCAAATACAACACTTAATAATAGTCATAGGGTATAATAAGCAATCAAATAATACTAGGAAGTAAAAAAATCATTAGGATAAAAGCAACAAAGTTATGGTCATACAGTAATAAGTGGGAGGAGATGGGTGAAAGAAGGGAGGATTAATAGTAATAGTAATGCAGACTTAGTACATACTTGACAGTGTTGAGGAAATTATTTGTTTAGCAGAGTGATGGTGGTCAGGAAAAAACTATAGGACCTGGAATTTCCTAATAGTCTGTCATCCAAGAGCAAACCTCATCCAGGTCTGCCTTTTCCTCCTAACTAGGCAATATGATACAATAATTCTAAAATAATTAGATTTTTATTTAGCTTCTCTTACCAGACAGCCATATACTGTCAGTGCAGTATTACTCTCTGTCTTTCTTTGTGTGTGTGTTTATATGTGTGTGTTGTAAACTCTGAAATAGTTTGATTTGTATCAGTGATATTATCACATAATTAAACTAAACCATGATTGGTTTTATTCAATCCTTCATTTCTGAAGGTTTAGCTAGTCAGAATTGTACAGTAATGAAGTGATATAAAAATTATTGTCTTTTGGTATTAGTTTACAGTTTATTTCCCCCCTTTATTGCACTGCACATGTTCTCTAGGGAGAATGTAACACAGAACTATATAAAACTCCATTTAAAAGTTGATTTTTTTTTTCATCTACAAAATGTAAAATCCTATTGCTTAAAGATTCTAAATTATGACACTTCCAGAGTAATTTTCAGTTGTGCTTCTTATGAATTTTCTATCCATAGTTGATAGCAGAGTCTCTATCAATTGTTTTGTTAAAAAGTATTGCAAATATTAATGAAAGAACACTAATAATTAATCGTGCTAATTACACATTCCAATCCTGTTTAAAAAGATGTTAACTGTATAAGAAGTTACAAAATATAGGTAAAAGTGAACTGAACATTTGAATGTTTTGAATTTAAAAATACTCTTTTATGTAGCTGGCTTCATACTCTTCCACTTTTTTCATTTTTTCTATGCTATTGAATCTTCCTAAACCAATGTTCACTAAAAGTAAACAAAGTCTTTCTAAAATAAAGATAGTTTAATATAAACTATGTAAACTGTAGTTGTTGCATTGAAGCCTAAACTCAATAACTAACTCTGTTAAGCAAAACAAAGTAAAGCAAAGCAAACAAAACAAAAAAAACAACACAACCTGAAACTATTTTTTCAACTCAAGAAAAGGTATCATCAGCAATGACTACTTAACTATATAACAACCATTTTCTTCCCTCATATAATATGGTTTATATTATGTATATGTATATGTATATGTATATGTATATGTATATGTATATATCTGCTGTGTTTTGAAGTAGCAATGTTTCACATACAAAGCAAAGTTATTAACCTCTGTGTAATTTTAAAATATTGATAGTAAATAGTTTTTCATTTTTAGAGATAAGGATATTGCTTCAGTTGAAGGAACATTCTTTCAGTGAAAACAGTCATTGAATTGCTGTGTATAGCGTATAAGGAAGTAAGGCATTCCAGCCAAAATAGACCACAGCATTAGACACAACATCAGAGGAAGACACTACTTTCAAATTATAGAAGGAAAACACACTTAAAGATTGAATTTGTAATGAGAGGCAATTGACCAAAGGCTGATGTTTTTCATTTCTACTCAAAAAATAGTTGCTGTCCCATTTGGCAGCATAACAGCTGGGCTGTGTAGATAAGTACTAAGGCTTAAATATAGAAGAGCTTCCATTGCAATAGGATTCAGCTTCAATACATGATTCGTAACAGTGTGTATAACATTTCTAAAAGCAGTAACTTTGCATGGAATAAAATCAGGAATCATACTCACGGAATGCTCTATAGAATTCTTCCAGGCCAAGATGCTTGTCACTATTATAATCATCATATTTCAAGAGATCAAAAAGAGAGCAGTCAGACATATCCTTGCCAAGTTCATCTTGTTTTATTACCTGACAAGAGAATTTGTAACCATGAAATTACACTGGAGCTCAAGGAGTTGAATTGTATAATTAAGTATTTCTAATATCATTTAATAGATCATATTAAAGATGCTGTAGGCCAGAGAACTAGAACTATGCAACAGCAGAGATTTCCAGTTCTTTTGTAATTATAAAGCTTGTCATTTAATAAATACATACAGAGAGAGAGAGAGAGAGAGAGAGGGAGAGAGAGAAAGAGAGAGAGAGAAAGAGAGAGAGAGAGAGAGAGTTTATACAATAGTTAAACAATAAGTACTAGAAGTATTCTGGATGGTTGAATCCCCTCCCATTTGCTCCCAAATTAATCCAGGTTTTATTTTTCCATATATAAAAAGGAACACTATATTTGTACAAGGAAAATGAGCAAGTCAATCTAAAAAGACATATCACAGACATAATTCAGTGTGTTTTTAGCCACTCCTGTTGCAGCCTATTCCAGCGTGTTCCAAACCTACAGTTTTTAAAACGAGTCTCCACAGAGGATCAGATAACAGCAGCAATAAATCAAATCAATAAATCCTTTCCACCTATTCTCAGATATCAACAGCAGCTAGCTAAGCAATAACCTTTTACTTGCTGACTCTCAATACTACTTAATTACTTTAATACACTTATTACTTCATTATCTCAAAACTTATAACTTTTCTACCTCAAGACCTATATCAATGATTAGATAATGATGTCTCCAAATCAATTTCTATAAAATAATTAATTTTATCAATTGATTAATTGATTTATTGTTTTTATTGATTAGTGTGATTACAGTGTTTAGTGCATATCGTGTGATTACTGATCAGTGTAAATGATCAGTGGTTAGTGTAAATTATTTGATTAGTAAAATCAGTGGTTTAGTGAATTTATTTGACCAGTGTGATTAGTGATTAATGTAATTAATTAGGCTGTTTGTTGCTTAGCAAAATTATTTGATTAGAGTGATTTGATTAATTGATTAATTGATTATTATAATAGATTAATTGGTATGATATTGGCTATATTGATTACCCAAATATCTTGTTTGATTAAGCAATTTGTCTAAAATAATTGATTTATCATCTATTAGTATAATAATTAATTGTTAAATGACCACTAATTTACCAATTCATTGAATCGATAGAGATTTAATGTATCATTGATTATCTAGTCGATTGATTGATTTTTAGTAATAAGTAACCTTACTTTTGAATTACCAACATTCATTAAGTAACTGTCTACCTCACATTAACTAGCTATTGTAATTGTTTAGTGTACTATTGTCATTGACCATGCCAGCCAAAAACTCCAAACCATCCACTACCAAACAACAACAAAAACATAATAATATCTCTATCAATGACCTCCCAGACTCCTGCTCATGTTTCAGATATCTTGAAACCATCAATGAAAGTGAAAATAACATCAAAGGCCACCTATGCGACAATCAAGCCCATCTTGCCTACTTAAACTTAAACAAAAGCCTAGCTGATCTCCTAAAAAAATCAGATACATTCCTTACTCTATATCCATCATGTTTTCCTAAGCTAAACAAACTGAGTACCCTGCCTGACAGAGTTGAAAGCATAGAATCATTCATTCACTCAATGGAAGAATGCTTAGCAAAGTTAAATTCACTACTAACATGGGCAACATCCTGCCCACAAGCTTTTATCTTTCTTGGTGACCTCAATCTACCTCATATTAACTGGACCCTAAATGAATGTAAAACTGAACCCATACATGCAACCTTCTACAATGCTGTAACAAATCTGGGACTAGAACTAGTAAGTAACAATACTAGACTTGCCTCGATCTCATCTTCTGCAATAGTTTGAATTCAATTTATGGAATACAAATTAAAGAACCCTTTTCCAACAGTGACCACAACATGATTGACTTTTGTCTCAAAATACGTCCACACAAAAATCATCATAATGATGGGATCCCCAATTATAACTTCAAAAAAGGCAACTATGATCTTATAGACAACGATCTCTCATCTGTTGATTGGCAACTTCTATTCACTGGATGCAATACTGTTGAAGACCATTACAACATATTTTTACTTGAAGTCCAAAGAGTCATCAAACTATACGTACCAATAACAACTCCCAAAACCAGAAAAAAACAAATTACCCATAACAATAAGGAAGCTTAAATCCAAAAAGAAATCACTTTGGCAGAAAAACAAATCTGGTTACATTACCAACTTCAAAAGCTGATACAAAAATGTATGCCACCAGATAAAGACTGAATGCACCAATTATCACATTAAACAAGAGGAAAGCCTTCTACACACCAATTCCACCTACGCTTTCTACAATTTTGTAAACAACAAACTAAAAGACTCAAGGTCCATCCCACCCCTGAGAGGACCTAATGGTAAAGACTGCAAAGCCAACCTCTTTAACACATTCTTTGGCTCAGTATTTGTAAACAGCAATGGATCATGCCCAGTATTTCCTAGTCGAACCACAGACAACTACAATGATCTAATACATATTGATTTTACAGAAGACAATGTTGAAAAAGCACTACACAATCCAAAACCGTCTCTGTCTATTGGACCGGATGGAATATATGCCTACTTCTTAAAAAAGCTATCCACTGACATAGCCGAACCTCTAAGCATAATCTTTGAAAAATCTTTCAGGACCAACTCCTTGCCTAACCTAAACAATTTGGTTTCAGAAAAAAACTATCCTGTAATCTGCAACTCTTACACTGCAAAAACATATGAACTACACAACTCGATCAGGGCAAAGCAATAGATGCAATCTACATTGACATATAATGGTACATGACAAACTACTCCTAAAACTAAAATCTTATGGTATCTCTGGACACCTGCATAACAGGATAGAAGCATTCCTGTCAAACAGACAACAAATGGTCAAAATTGGGAGCGTCCTATCAAATTCTGTACCTGTAACAGTGGTGTCCCCCAGGGCGCTGTTCTAGGACCAACCCTCTTCATACTCTACATTAATGTCCTCTGTGATTATATTAAGAGCAACTGTGTTCTCTTTGCTGATGATGTAAAGCTATTCAACACCACAAACAATACTGCTACCCTTCAAAAAGACCCCGACTATGTATCAGAATAGTCAAACAAATGGTAACTTCAAATCTCAACAAATAAATGCTCTGTTTTACATATTGGCAAAAAAAATCAGAAAATAAAATACAAGCTGAATAGTCAAGACCTTGTTGATGATCCAATCTCTGTAAAGGACCTTGGAGTACTCATCTCAAATGATCTAAGTGCTAGAGTCCACTGTAACTACATAGCCAAAAAGGCATTAAGAGTTGTTAACCTAATCCTACGTAGCTTTTTCTCTGGTAATATCACACTACTAACTATAGCATACAAAACATTTGTTAGACCAATACTTGAATACAGTCTGGAACCCACATTATGTATCTGATATTACTCATCAGTCTGGAACCCACATTAAGTATCTGATATTAACACAGTTAAGGAAGTCCAGAAATATTTCACAAGAAGAGTTCTCCATTCCTCTACTCGTTGCAGAATACCTTATGCCACCAGACTTGAAATTCTAGACCTAGAAAACTAGAACTATACTGCCTTCGATCCGATGTAAGTATAGTATATAAAATTATACATTGCAATGTCCTACCTGTCAATAAATACTTCAATTTCAACCATAACAATACAAGAGCACACAATAGATACAAACTCAAGGTAAACCACACCAAACTTGATTGCAGGAAATACGAGTGGTCAATGTCTGGAATACTCTACAGAGCAACAGAGTGGTCAATGTCTGGAATACTCTACTTGACTCTGTGGCTTCTTCCCCTAACCCCAAAAAACTTGAACATTGGGCTGTCTACTATTGACCTCACCCCTTTCCTAAGAGGTCTGTAGGGGGCATGCATAAGCGCACCAACGTGCCTACCATCCCTGTCCTATTGTTTCTTTTTATTTTTCTTATATGTATCCATTTTATGTATTCATAACTATGTTTATACTTTTACCTACTATCTTATAATCGCTTGACAAAAATAAATAAAATAAAAAATAAATAAATATTCATATTCTTTTCTTGGCAACATTCCAAACGTGGTTTGTCACTTCCCGTTCTCTTCTTCTTTGTTCATCCCCTCGCTCTTTCAGTCTAATCTGTAGTTCTGGTATTCTTTGGTACTGTTTCCTCTAAAGATTGAGGAGGCTTAACTTAGCTTTCAAACAATATTGCCATTTATAAAATGCCTATATTTGTCAGGGGAAAAAAAAACAGGTCAAACCATATATTTCATTTGAATTTTTTATTCATTTTGATTTTGATTTTTCTATTTGAATCAGAAAATCAGTATAAGTTATGTGAGTTGTAAAATCAAACCGTTTTGATTTTGATTTTTCACAAGAAAACCTTTACATATGGAGATTATTAGTCTGAAAATTTATTTTTCAAACAATATATTTTTGACTACAAACTTATCATACAAAAACAATGGCAGAAAGAAATTTCTAAATGAGCTCGGCAAATTTTTTTTTTAAAAAAAAATCTGATAATTAAGTTCAAAGTTCTGCCTGATGCTAAAGAGAGAGTGTATTTTAAAAGTGTACTTCGAACCATGCTACTTAGTTTTGTTAGAGGAATAAAAGGTTATTGTATGTGGAAGGCAGTGGTGGGATTCAGCCAGTTTGCACCACTTTGGGAGAACCGGTTGTTAACTTTCTCAGCCGTTTTGTGAACTGATTGTTGGAAGAAATCATTAGGGCAGAGAACTGGTTGTTAAATTATTTGAATCCCACCACTGGTGGAAGGGCATTGTTAATTGGTGAGTATCATAAAATGACAAGCTGTCTCTTAGTGTCATTAAATACAGTATTTATATTTATTCATTTCCCAGGCACCTTTTTAACATAAAAAATATTTTTAGAGACAATCAGCCAGTCCCAAAGATTGTCAATCTTTCAGCTGGTTATAAACAGAAAAAGCAGTTACCATACTTACGTTAGTTCT